GTTTTGCTTTAGTGCCATAATTTTGTCTGTCATGTTTTACAAGCGTTACAAATGACAGCAGCAAACCCATAATACACAGACACATTCACATTCCACTGCTAACACCTACTGAACTCAGCGTTTACATTTTGTATGGGGGCATTATACTAAATCACCTATATAACTGTGTTACTTAATCAGAGATTTCATGCTTTAAATCAAGGGACAAAGCACAGGGTGTATCTCAAATGAACACAGCTGTGAAGTCAATGTGATAGCTAATACAAATTCAAGGTTCCTTGGTAAGCCCTGTTCGTTGCTTATGGTTTTCCATTTATGATGATGAATGCTGTGTAAAAGCTAGTAGAAGCACATGCCCCCATGGTACCTTACAAACATAAATTACTGGGTTTTGCACTCAGTGAGCTGCCTGCTTAAGAGAAAAAAGGATATTGTCTTGAGTTAGACGCAGCAAATAATCAGAATGGCAATTTGCACTACTACTTTTTGTAATGCATCCTGATTTTTCTCATTTTAGGGAAATATCTGGATCAATAATGGCTAACCAAGATTTGGGATTTTTTTTTTTTAAAAGACTCTTCTGCAAACAGATTCAGTTTTTCACCTCTTTGCCTGTCCAGAAACTACATTTCATAATCAAAAGAAATTATTAGAGATGAAACAGAGTATGCCATCCTAGAGGACATAAGAGCAGCATCTGTGGACTTGGATTCAGTATTCTCAGTTGTACAGAAAACAGTATAGGAGTGAGCATCAGATGCAATCAAAGCAATCACGCTACAGTTGCAGTTTGAGGTAGTGCAAGTATGAGGGCCAGTGTTGTGAGTGAAAGGACAGTGCAGCAGCTGCATTTTAATGGAGCTTATAGTTGTTTTGCAGAAAGTGATGTATGGCAGTCACATAACCCACTGCCAAAGCCTAGTCAGACACCAGCAGCAACCTGGGAAGGTGTCAGGCATCAAGTCTCCTACTCAACAGGAGCCTGACAGAGGTAGAAATGCAATTTTACCTGAAACCAAGCCATGGTCAGAATTAGCTTCAGATGCCTCCCTTACAGTTATTAAACTCAGAAGTCTGGTCCTGAGACTGGTTTGTCTGGCAAGGAAAAAGAGGCAGGAAAGCAAGAGGACGGATGTTTGAGGCTTTGGGTTTCAAGCTCATGTGTATAAGTGCACCATCTTCTCTCCATCCAGTGTTTAGCTGCATTTTCTCAGAATTTCTAAGATTAATGTTATCATGAAAGCTATTCAAAGCAATAGATTGTTTAAAAACAGATGCATTTTGTCAGATGAACATCTTGCATATACTTGTTGGATGCTCTTATTGCTTATAATTATTTTGGGGTAAACCATACGGTAAATTCTGTCACATCCATGTTCTGTGGGAGTTTTATCTAAACATTTTCTTAATGTACTACAAGGGAAGATGTTAATTGTGTACATCTTCTGTGTCATTTAGTCGTGGTGCATTCCTAATACTCCTTCCCAAGGATATATGCTGAATTTACACTCTCAGATAGTAAGATTTATTCCTGTACATCTAGGTCTGGAAGATGAGCGTGAAAAAGAAACTCCAGCACTTTTTCCCATAAACCCTGTGAGAAAGAAACTAGGTATTTATGGGGAAGAAGAAACAAAGCCCTATTGTTTACCCTTTTTCAGAACTGTAAGGAAGAACAATTAAACCAGACCAGGAAAGAGGCTGAGCTCTGTTTGGATCTAGCTAGCAGAGATCAAAAATCATACCTCCCACAGACAAATAAAGTCTGCCTGAACAAGTTTAGAAAAGTGAGCAGCATCGCCCCTGCCACAGAAGTGGTGGCCACGATTACAGCTTCCAGCTGCTTGGGGAGGCTGGGGAGAGGGGGTGGCTCACCTCATTCTAAAAGAATGGTGCCTACAGCTCTTTAGCATATATTGAGCTTACCTTCTCATAAAAGGAGAAATAGGAGTGCATACTATTAGGAAATACAGAGTGCATACTATTCCTATTGTGTGGTGTTTGCTGACTACAAAGCACAGAGCTTAGAGGAAATAGTCCCCTGGCAGGTGGTCTGATGGCCAGGCACTTCCACAAAAAATGCCCTTTAGATGCAGGGCATTCTTAAAGATCTACAGATGTAAAGACTGGAATTATCTAGGCTTTGAGGGGAGGTAATTGATAAAACCATTAAACTTCTAAAAAACAAGATGGAAAACTCTCTAGATTTTTACTGAATTTTATCTGATTTACTCCATCATTTTTAGTGATTATAGTTTGGGGCCATTAAGTAGAATTGCACTTTCATTTAGTGAGGTGTTTAATGTTGGCTTTCCAATGTTATATACATTGTAATAATGTAAAGTTAAAATTAATTGAATCTAGTATAATTTGAGTCTGGCCCAAATGCTAGAAGGATCATACTGGGACTATAATAACAGTAGCAATAGCATTTCTGGAAGACTGAAATACCGTGTTATGCCTAAGAAGACTGTTTCCAATAGCTCATGCTCAAAAAGCCATCCAGATAGGGGAAAAAACAGCAGAAATAATTTCAGGTGGAAAATGAACCAATAAATATTCCATAACCTATCTCCAGCTTTTTTCAGAGATTATGATGGCAATTAGGACAGAATATACTATTTCTTTGATATTGTCTACGGCTGCCAAGACTATATGCTCAGTTGGGTTATTCAATTCTTAAAATGCATTATGTTCAAATCACGCGTTCTAAAGTGGATTTCTGTTAGAACTACATCAAATGAAAGCCATATTGCTGGCTTAAATGTAATTCAGTTCATCCTTGTTGTGTCGGGATGTTTTTTTTATATATAACGGGAAGAAAATGAAAAGATTAAAAAAAACATTAGTCATCATGAGGTTTTTTAATATCATCAGCACTACCATAAAGCCAGCTGATAAATTGCACACTATTCAGAAGAAAGAAATAGAATAAAATTAGTATTGCATTACACTAGATTAATCATAGCCTTGGGTTACTGTCATTCTATGGAAAATAAAAGCTTGACTATTTCAGATTTTAAAGTTTTTTCTCAGCCTTTAAGATTATTTGCCTTAAGAGACAAATTACAAGCCCATGTACTGAAGGAAGAATACAAGATTTTGGACTAGTGGGGTTGGTAAATTTTTATCATTGTTTCTAAACAACAGCAAAGCAGCATTGATGACTTGGATCCAGATGGTTAGCAGTAACGCTTCATAATAGTAGCCTAATGAAGCTTTTTAGTGCTGGTGACAGGTAAATGCTTGAAAGGTTTATGGCAGGGAAAAAGCTTCAATGAATAACTTGAAAATCTGTCTCTTTTCTTACTTGCATAATTGTTGCTTTTTATAATGGCATAATGGAACAGCAAAGCATAGGTGAAGAAAAGGCTAGCAAAGAAGAACTCTTTCTGGAGCTAATAGCATGTACAGTGGGTTTGGGGGTTTTTTTACTTCTTGTAAGATCAATAGCTACTTTACAACCATTAGGCCTCTCTCAGACTTAACAGGAAAATTTAAAAATCTCTTTCATATAGTTAAGTCTGTCAAGGGATCAGGAGCTAAAAATAGGGGATATGAAGACTTTTCCCTATGCAAGTACAGAATAATAGTTTTAGGATATTTTGACTGAAAGAAGAAAGTTCTGGGATCTCTCACATAAGCTTTTCTCCCTAATCCTAGTTACCTGTGAAGAGTACAACCAGAAATCTGGTGCTCCCTTTGCAAGAAGGGGGAATCTGATGGCTGAGTGCTTCAAAGGGCAGGAGGCCAGTCCTGCAGAAACTGATGTTTCTGATAAAATCTTTTTCACTGGAAAACCCAGTTTTCAATAAATGGAAATTTTAACAGAAATTGTCCCTTTTTTCTGGGGAAGAAAAAGGCAGACTTAAAACTCACTGAAAGAGGGGGAAATTGGCTGAAAAGAACATCTGGACATTTTTTGGGTTTTGATCAGAAGTGCACCAGGTTATGCCAGCTGTTTTCAGTCTCAGTTATAGAAAATATTACAACAACAACAAAAAAAAAATGTGAAGAAGAAATTGGCTGAAAGATATTTTTCCTGTCAAAAAGTAAAAAAAACCCTAGGCTGAAAATTTCACTTAAAAAAAGAAACCATCTACTTCTGTTAACATTTTCTACTGTCAGTTTTCCAAACAGATGTGATTGGGAAAGTGTTGTCAGTTTTTCTGTGGGTAGGTGGAGCTAGTATATCTTATGGTCCCCTGCAGCATCACTGAATGCTTAGTTGAAGCTGGTAGCATTAATAGGTTGTGTAGCAGGACTCTCAGATTTTTAGATGCAACCTTCCTCCAGTCTCTGCTGGAAGAATGACCCTCAAAAGTATTGGCTGACACTGGATTTTCGCTGTTTCACACTGTGGCTGGTAAAACAACAGAAATCAAAGGATATGCAATTAAAGCCTATGGCATGTACACAAGAAAAATAATAAAATATATAATGTCAAAAGGGAAGCCATTGAGGAAAGAACCATTAATCTGGTAACTATAAGCATTGTTTAAGCACACAGTCAATGTAAATGGTCCAGAATCAGGTATATAAATAGTGCAATGGGACTGAAGCAAAGAATCCTACAGGCAGTTTATTTAGATTGAATGCTATTATGCAAATAAAGCATTTCATTGCAAAGCAGCTAAGATACATTCTTCTATTTTCTGCTGCTAAAATAGAAATTATTCAGCAGTTGTTTGCATAGCATTATTGAGGGGAAGACAGCCTCAACAGCTCTTGCTTGATTCACTGTCGTTATTTTGGGCCATGCAGTCTAACATAGGACTGTTGCACAGTCCTGATTGTCCACTGCTGCAGGGACATGACTTCTTTTAGCCCTCAAAGGTTTAAGGTGGGAAAGTCTGTTAGATATCAATATTTGATTGATTCACAAAAAAGTCAAGTCATAGTCCTCTTCCCTCTTTTCCCCAGTTGTCTTGGCTTCCTTTTGAGTTTCTGCTGGAGGAAATTCTGTGCCTTCATACTAAAGTGAACATTTCATTTCTCAGTTTCTACAGATCAAGTGATGAGATGTCATGTGTGAACCCCCTGAAGGCTGAGAAGAGAAACTCTGACTCCCCCACAGAAAATTGTGAACTGCGGTTTCTTACTGGCTAGCAACACCTTTGATCAATTTGTATGAAAACTCAATTTACTTATTAAAATGGACGTTATTGTTCAAATATTAGAAATTCCATTTCTTATATGTTCTAAGCTGTACAATTGTCAGATTTTTATGGTTTAGACTGTAAATGTGTTTTTCTCTGGCTAATTATTGGTATTATTTTTTTAATTTTGATGTCTGAAAGGCCAATGTACTGTATCATAATAATATGAAGGACATATTTAACAGGTGTGGGAAACACTGTATACAAATATATATTTCTAAAAGCTATTTTTATGATTAGCATGTTTTACTGTTTTACCATATTTAGGGTCAGGTGATATTGCACTTCTTTGTTTACAGCTTAATTCAAACAAGATCACAGTTAAAAACATTGTATGGTATTTTCTATTATTTTATTTATTATATTTATCATTGGAATAATTATGTTTACTAATAGGGATAGCTGCTAAAAAGTGAAAATGTCAAAATAAGAGAGCAATCCTTCATAAACTGTAAATTGCATCCTCCTGTAAATCCCTTTCTTCAGATAAACACTCTCTGTGATGCCATTCACTAGACAGCTGTTACAGCTGTTCCCGCAAGTCTCTAAAGGCAGTTTGTTGTTACCATATGGAAAGTTTACATGACAGTCAGTCACCTGTCTAGCCAGGTAATTTACTTACAGACTGCCAATTTCTGACAACCCGAGTTAGCCTACTGATTAGTTTTTGGTTTATTTTCTGGCAGTAGTCTTTCCACTCCTGAACCCCTAAAGCCTTCCTAAAGCCTGCAGTTGGAATAATTAATTATTACAGGTGTTGTAGGGGGAATCTCAGTATAGAATTTCTTAATAAATCATATTTCTTTTCAAACAGAATGGATGCATTACTTCTCTTGTGTTACTGAGATATTAAGGGTATCAAAGCATATATGATATGGGCACAAGGTCTTCTCTAACAAAAGCACCAACTTGTTCACCATCCCAAAGCTAGACATCCTTAGCACTACAGATGACATGAAACAAGGAATAGATATTTATTTATCTACACACTTATGGGAGATGATGTACTCCTATGGAAAAAGACATATCTAAAGTCGTTGCAGGGGGAAAAATTACGTAATAGCTACAGCCTTCCAAGAGGGAGACACATTAATTTAAGAAGTACCTTACACAGTCAAATGGAGCTCAGACCCAGCTGTGTGCCTGTCTGCAGCACAGAGCCCTGATGTCCACTGACACTGGTGGCCAGGGGTATTTGGTATCATCCAGCACCACAAAGATGAACCCTTGCGTTGCCCTTTCAATCGTTCTCTGTAGGCTGAAAGCAAGAGAAAGATAAAGGTACCAGAGAGTCTCTTTAATAGATCAAACTTTCAATTTCTATAAAAACCAGCAGTTTCTGAGATGATAGGTTCACTTCAAACAGTGGGGGTATGAGGACGTGGGAGCTCAAGTTCTCCAGTCAGGTTTCTAGTATGGGGACTGTCATCAAAGGACTGATATTCTTCAAACATTTAGAAGAAGAGCATACATTTAAATTTAATTATCTATTATTGAGTGGGAATTTACTTCACTAGGAGACTATGTAACATAGCACTTTCAGTTATGTTTGTGTATCTTATATTTAGCTTGTCTGTTGTCTGTGGAGTTACATGGTTTACCTAAGTGCTGAGTAGTACCTAGCTACTTAATTAAGGAAAGAATAGTACAAGTAGTTACACCTGAGCGTAAAGAATCACAGCTTTAGAATCCACCAAGGCTGACTCTCCCAGAAAAGTGCAGCAAAAAATATTACTTCTGTGTAAATGAAATGTTAGGTCAAATCAAACAGTGAACTTTTTCTCCACTTTCTGTCTATTAGTATAGGTTATGATCATTTTTAACTGTAAAAATGCAAGAAGAATTGCCATTTTGGGATCTCCATCTTTGGCTGACAGTTAAAAAAAAAAGAACTCCAAACCTTAGCAGCTCAACAGGCATTTTGCCCATTTCAATATGTAAACTGTTGGCTGACTTAAAAGATGCAGAATGTCGTCCAAGGAGATCAGATCTAATGTTGGTGTTAATAAATTATGTATGAGAAACAGCTGGGTGTATCATCTCTTCACCACCTCCATTCCAAATGAGCTAATAATCACAGAAAGCACTCTATTAGATTTTTACAAATTCTTTCCAATCATTACCCTTAGATTACATATTCACAGAAATGATTGCACTGTCATAATGTCGACACTGTTTCACACCACAGTTTAAGTCCTGAATATATTTTGAACACAGAAAGACACCTCTGATAACACCATGAGGCACTACTTCATCTGCAAGCAAGAAGATTGTTGTGCTGTGCAGTCAATTACTAGCAAGGTTTCTTAATGGCATGTTTGCTTCAAATCACTACAGAGGATGCTGGTAGCTTCAACAGAGCTTGATAGTTCTCTACTTTTCATGTATGCGGTATGCTCGGTGTTGTTTGCCACCACTACCTATACTTGTTTTACACGAGTTTTGTCAGTTGTGGGGTTTTTTTAACATTGCTCATCCCTTGCAGTATGGAAGAATAGGGAACATAAAGGATCTTGTCAATCAGTTTGGATAGTCAACAGTCATAAAATCCTTTATGGACAGTCCTGAATTAAACCAATTCACTTTCTACACAGACCTATAGACTCTGTGTATTTCAGATATTTGTTTCAAACCTGTGCAGATGCATGAATGGAAAATATTTACTAAAAAGCTTTAAAGTTTGGATCAAGAAAAAATATTTTTACTTTTGTAAACTCTTGTATTACATATTATTGCAGTTCTTATTAGTTTTCTCTGTAGATCCATTTTTAGTTCTGAAAAATCATTGTACTTAAACTATGTAGATAGCTACAATCTTGTAAGCAGTCATATTTTTAATAGGTGCCACTGCAAGTTAGATTTAAAACATTCAGGGTTTGCCCATGTAGAGCGGATTGATGGTTCATTACAGTTTTCTTTAAAATGTTGTAACATAATTTTTACATGTCTGTAAATAAATATTTTCTCTGATTTATGCACTAATTCAGTTTTGTAATTTCTTCTCTTAAAATGTGACTAAGAAATTTTCCAGGAAAAATATATTTCTCTCATGGACAAATACCATTTAAAGTTCTGTAATACAACCATGCTTCACAAACTTTCCAAGCAGAACAGACAGAAAGAGGCATCCACCTTATGAAGTACTTATGTTAAGTAAGTAAGAAAGATGAAGAAAAATGTGGTAAATACTGCTATCATTTTAACAGTTTGAGAAATTTAAGGACCAGTCCTGTGTTAAAAAATGGCTGAGAAGAAATGTGACAAACTTCCTAAAAAAAGTAAATTCTTCAGTGGGGTGAGAGAGAGAGAAAGAGAGAGGCCCAGTGGTGATATTTCATTGACTTTGAGGAATGCATTTTCTTAATCTTGGAAGCTTCCAGATGTATTACTAAACTAGCATGAATATAACTTATGAAAACCATATTAATAATAGTTAAAATTTTCTGTTCAGTATTCAAACACATTTTTTATTCATCGTTTATTATTCCATTCACAAGGTGCTGCTGTACAGGCAAACTAAGGAAAATTGGTCCACAAAGTCTACAAGAATGTTTTTAAATTATGTTGGAATTGTTGGGGAGCAAGACTATTTTGAAAGGTGTGTGATTTATATGTGGCACGTAATTTTCTAAATTTTTAAATGTGTTGTCCTTACTGTTACAGCTATGCCAGATTTTGTACAAGTTTGTGAACTTTATAAACAACTTACTCTTATTATGCACAGTACAGGGCCAATTCCTCATTCAGAAAGAACTCTGCTACAGATTAAATAGTAGCCAATTAAAATAATTTCTAATTCCTTTTTATTAAAGAAGGTAGCCTGAGAACTTCAAAAGTTTCCAGTTTCCATGTTCAGAAGAATTCTCAATAGTCTAGAAAATTTAAATAAGGAATACATCTGATTTGAGAGGAAAGAGGATAACAAAATAAGATCATTTCATTTTCTGTACTTGTCTGTCAAGATCTTATGTAATAAACATCATCAAAAAGTTCACTTTGATAATCTTAAGTTCTGTGCTGGATGATACTGGGCATGAGGGCAATTATTACTGAAATTAAGGCATCAATCAGCCAAGAATAAGCAGGGAGAGCATCCTGAAGTGTTAGATGGATAAAATGTCAAACAGTCTAACATTTTATGGGCAAAGGAGCAATACCTTACAAATATTTTTGGAACACAGAAGTACTTAACCTTTTGCATGATTAGTAATAAAGTATAGAAAATATAATTTATGCAATTAAATTGTAGTCAGGATTATATTCCAGTATTTTTTTTGTTTGCTCGTATGAACATCCATTCTGACCCTCATTCATTGCCATTAGGGACAAAGACAAATATTTTTGAGTTTTGAACCTGTAGGGAAAACCATTATAAAATTAATGCTAAATTATTAGAAAAGTGGGGGAGTTTTCCACATAAGTAATAGAATCCTGTCTCTTTGCCTTAAGAGCCCAAAAGGGTGGCTCCAAAGCAAAGCATTGAAAAGATTTGTGTTGTAGTTTAAGCCCAGCTGGCAACGAAACACCACGAAGCTGCTTGCTCACTCCTCCCCCACCCCAGCCGTGGTGGGATGAGGAGGAGAAAATATAAAGAAAAAGCTCATGGGTCAAGAGAAGGACAGGGAGGGATCACTCACCAGTTATGGTCATGGGCAAAAGACAGGCTCAACTTGGGGAAAAAACAAAATCAATTTAATTTACTACCAATCAAATCAAAACAAGGATAATGAGAATTAAAACCAAATCTTGAAACACCTTCCCCCCACCCCTCCCTCCTTCCCGGCTCAACTCCACTGCCTGTTCTCTCTCCCTCCTCCCCCCCAGCAGCACAGGGGGATGGGGAATGGGGGTTGGGGTCAGTTCGTCCTATGTTGTTTCTGCTGCTCCTTCCTCCTCAGGGGGAGGACTCCTCACTCTTCCCCTGATCCACCGTGGGGTCCCTCCCACAACAGACAGTCCTCCACGAACTTCTCCGACATGAGTCCTTTCTGCAGGCTGCAGTTCTTCATGAACTGCTCCAGCGTGGGTCCTTTCCACGGGCCACAGGTCTTCAGGCACAGGCTGCTCCAGCGTGGGCTTTCCCATGGAGTCACGGCCATCTTTGGGGGCATCCAACTGCTCCGGCGTGGGCTCCTCTCTCCCTGGGGCTGCAGGTGGGCCTCTGCTCCCCCGCTCCCCTCCCTGGGCTGGGGGACAGCCTGCCGTCTCACCAGGGCTGCAGGGGTATCCCCTCCTGCAGCGCTCCTCCTCCCCTCCTTCCTCATTGACCTCGGTGTCTGCAGAGGGGTTCCTCTCACATCCACCGTCGCTGACGGGCTCGGCCTGGGCCAGAGGCAGGGCTGACTTGGAGCCGGGGAAGCTTCTAGCAGCTTCTCACAGGAGCCACCCCTGCAGCCCCTCCCCTGCTACCAAAACCCCACCACAGAAACCCAAAACAATTTTCTTCTCTCACAAATTCTTCACTCTGGGACAATTACCTTGTTCCATGTCTGCATAACTTCAGGCTTTTATCCTCCCTGAAAGAAACTTGTAGAACTTCTCCATCGTAAGAGCTCACCAAAGTCACCCACTCAGATCCAGCAGCCACAGATCAGAAAAGCCATCTCTGTATGGTTAGGCTCCCACACAAGAGGAAGGATAGTGTGTGTGGTGAACCTAAGGACAGTTGGACACCCTGAACTAGGATGAAAGGTGTCTGGTTTGGCCAGTGGCTGCCAATCTCACCAGTCAGCTAAGGACAGACCTGACTACGGATAGTCTATTCCTAAAGAAAGGAGAGTCCAGCCAAGGCTATGAGTAAAGATGAAAGAAAA